TTCAAATCTGCTGTGAACATAAAACTGCTCTAAAGAATAATTTTTAAAAAAAAATGCAGGGATGAAAAGATGAGACAAGATTTGGTACAATTACAAAGTTTACAAATGACAAAATTATAAAAATGGCAAAATATAATTATTGGAGCTAGATGATAGCTACATGGTGTTGCGTTCTACTCCACATGGTATGCAGTATGCTATTTTCTTTGTGATTGAAAAACAATGTTTTTTGCAGACATGAGGGGCTGAGCTGCAAGGGGTGGGGTGCGGCACCCCTATCAGTTACTGTTATTTTCACAGGAAGCTGAAGCTGGATATCCAGCTCCCTCCCCTGTGTGTTGGCAGGCAGTCCCGGCCAGCAGAGGTTTTAGGAGCCCCCAGGAGCAGCTAGCCCACAGCCTCGTCTCCCCCACATCATTGGGAGCTCGATGTGGCTGCAATCCCTGGCAATTTCAATTTCCCTGGGATTCCCCTCCAGCCAGGTGGGGGTTAAGCTCCTCTCAGAGAGGCTTAGGGAGGGGGTACCCCTCTTGGTCGGAGTACCATTATTGCCACCGCTTTGCCTGGAAATGAAAGGGATGGGACTGCCTGGGGTAATTCATCGTTAACCTCCTGGCTGACCAGTGGCCAGGACACCCAGGAAATGAAAGTTCATCAGAGACACACCCTGTAATAAGGAGACCTGGAGTTCTCATCGCAGCGATGGATGTTTGGTTAGCATCAGCCATAGGGGCTGTCATCCACTGGCAAGGCCTCTGGTCAACCTTTCTTTTCGCTGTAGATACTTGAAAATCTACCGTTAACATTGGACTGGCTCTCAGAGAGATATAACTCCAAGATTTTGATTTTTTCTCCCCTCAGTTGGGAAGCTAATGTATGCAGTGGACCCAATCACCTGCACTGACACAGTTGCATACAATCTCCGGGGTACATGGACCTCCCTGAAGCCCATCCACAGACACCACTTTAAGAATCTTGGGCCGAGCTTACTAGCTCCAAAGTTAAGTTCTCATTCCTTTGGAAAGAAGCACACCCTAGAGCCCTCTTTAAAATGCAAATGGCCCGGGGCGCCTGGGTGGCTCATTCGTTAAGCGTCTGCCTTCCGCTCAGGTCATGATCCCAGGGTCCTGGGATGGAGCCCCGCGTCAGGCTCCCTGCCCCGCGGGAAGCCTGCTTCTCCCTCTCCCACTCCCCCTGCTTGTGTTCCCTCTCTCGCTATGTCTCTCTCTGTCAATTAAATAAATAAAATCTTTAAAAAAATAAAATAAAATGCAAATGACCCTTGGGAAGGTTGAAAAGACCAACCAGCTTGTGTCAAAGAGTTTTTCGCCCCGCAGCAGCTAGAGACAGCCTAATAGGTTTTAATGGTGGCGGTGGGGAAAGCAGAGCCTGGGGGTGGGGAGGCTTTGTAGGGGCTCACAATTGGGCCTAGAACTGGTAAGGGAATGTACTGAGCCAAGAGTGCTAAAACCTAAGTTGATGCAGCGGTCACAAGAATCTTGTGAATTAAGTGCTATCAGCATCCCCATTTTATGGAAGAGGAAACGGACTGGAAAGGATCAAGTGACATGCTACCCTCTCCGCAGCTAGAGGGGAATGTGAAGCCTCGAGCAACTTGAGATTAAAGGCCCATCAGCAGCATAGCCCAACATCAGCTCCTTTGATCCTCACAATGAGGAATCCTTTTTTTTTTTTTATAAAAAATAGATTTATTTATTTTAGAGGGGGTAGGAGCGGGAGGAAGCGGGAGAGACAGTCCCTCACAGACTGTGCTGAGTGTGGAGCCCGATGCGGGGTCTGATCTTACAACCCTGAGATCATGACCTGAGCTGAAACCAATAGTCAGACACCTAACCGACTGTGCCACCGAGGTGCCCCAGAGGAAATCCTTTTTGATGGAAGAGGAAACTGAAGCAATTCAATGAGGGCCATAGTCACTCAGTGCTCCCCCTCCAGCCTCCTGAGTGTTCCCTCCTCACTCTGGACAGTTGGGAGCCGGCAGTCCTGTTCCTGGAGCTTGAAGGACTTGCTGAGAAGTCTGAAGAGAGCATCATGCCGACCTGTCTTCACTGCCCCTAATTGTTTTCTAAAATCCTTTTTATTGAATTATCAGAGTGTAATGGAAGAGTCGATGAGAGTCGCTTCAGAGTTACAAGGCCAGGGCTTGCTGGGTGGAGAAAAGCAAAGCCCTTAAAGGCTCCCTGGGCCGAGCAATGGTATAAAATATGTATTTTTACATAACTGGGAGAAAAAAAATAAACGGACAAGCTGCCCCATGGGGGAAACGCCTCTTTCTGTATTTCCATTATCTTGTTTAATGCACAGTCGGGCAGGAGCCTCAGTGGGAAAGGAAATACTGGAGACCTTTCCCTCTGAGCCTCCTGGTGGGTTAAGAGGCAGAGAGAGCCAAAATGCAGAAATCCAAATGGCCTGGGCGTGTACTCAGAAACCCATTAAAACTGTGGGGACAGGTGGGGAAACCCATTAAAACTGAGGGGACAGGTGGGGGAGGAGCGCTGGGCTGATTCAAAACACTGTCTTGGTTTGCAACAACACCTCTCCGGCTTGAGAAAGTAGCCTCAGTGAGCTCAGATTCACCTTTAGCTCTAGGTGAAATATTCTTTTTTTTTTTTTTTTTTTTAAGACTTTTATTTGACAGAGAGAGACACACTGGGAGAGGGAACACAAGCAGGGGGAGTGGGAGAGGGAGAAGCGGGCTTCCCGCGGAGCAGGGAGCCCGATGTGGGGCTTGATCCCAGGACCCTGAGATCATGACCTGAGCTGAAGGCAGTTGCCTAACCAACTGAGCCACCCAGGTGCCCCTCTGGGTGAAATATCCTAAACATGGCCTTCCCCAGGAGGAAGGGGGGAAGGGAGTGATCCTTTTCAAAGACCAACCAACACACCAAAACATTTACTGAGTGGGCACTATCAGGTGCCAAGTATTCTGTTTAGTGATTTTCTTGCATAGCTCCCATCGACCCATTTATACAGATAAGAGCCCCTAGCTGCCCAAGGTCATGCAGCTGGTGAGCAGTTTACTCCACACAGTGTTTAGGAGTTCTGAGCATGCCTGGAGGGGGTAAAGGGAAACATAGTGTCCTTGTCAGGGTAGCCAAACCACACAGATGTGCTGGCCCCTGGCAGTCAGAAGGAGAAGCTATCTGACCTAATATTTGCATGTCTATTCTTTTTTTGACTCTAAAATTATTTTCCTAAGGACAGAATTCTCTAGAGAAGGCAGTGGTGACAATAGTGTGGTGTTAAGAGCACCAATCTGGGGATCAGGAGATTTGAGCCTCCAGTCTTGGCTTTGATATTGATTTGCTATGGGACATTGAAACTTCTTTGCAAATAACAGGTTTGGATGATCTTTAAAGGGTCTTTTCCAGGATAACATTGAAGATTGAAAACTACGGTTCCAGCTCCAAGATGATCTGGGGTCCACATGAGGTGAAGTTAATAGAAAGAAGGGCCCTGGAATCAGAGAGGGGTGGGTTCCAGTCCTCCACCACCTCCTAGTGGCCTCCAATTCTTTATGCGTCAGTTACTATCAAATGGGAACAACAACAGCTCTTGGGTTGTTCCTAGATAAGATTAAATGTTTAGCATAGAGCCTGGCACAGTAACTTTCAACGCGCTGCACCTACTATTATTTATTTATTTAAAGATTTTTTAATTTATTTTTTAACAGAGAGAGAGACAGCGAGAGAGGGAACACAAGCAGGGAGCGTGGGAGAGGGAGAAGCGGGCTTCCCGCTGAGTGGGGAGCCCGACGTGGGACTCGATCCCAGGACCCCGGGATCATGACCTGAGCCGAAGGCAGACGCTTAACGACTGAGCCACCCAGGTGCCCCTACTGTTACTATTATTATCCCTCCCATTTGTACAGAGCTTTTATGGCGCAGGAAACACTGGTCTTACTAATTGTATGGCAACCTCACAACCTAGGAAGGAGTTTGTGATTATTGTTCCCGTTTGGAAGATGGAGAAACTGAGGTTTTGAAAGGTGGGTCCTACCCTGTGGATTGACTTGCACACTCACGACCTATGGAGACCCGCAGTTAAAAAGAACTAGAAGCGCCTGGGAGGCTCAGTCGGTTAAGCGACCTAAGCTACTCCACCTAAGCAACCGACTTTTAGTTTCCTCTCAGGTGGTGATCTCAGGATCATGAGATCGAGCCCCGCCTCTGTGCTTAGCTCAGAACTGGCTTGGGACTCTCTCCCTCTCCTTCTGCCCCTCCCCTCCCTTTATCTCTCCCCCCCCCAAAAAAAGGCGGGGGGCGCCTGGGTGGCTCTGTCGGTTAAGCGTCTCCCTTAGCCCCAGGTCACGATCTTGGGATCTTGGGATCCAGCCCCATACCGGGCTCCTTGCTTGCTCAGCAGGAAGCCTGCTTCTCCCTCTCCCTGCCCTCCCCCTTCTTGTTCTCTGTCAAATAAATAAATAAAAAATTTAAAAAAAAAAAAGGCAGAGCTAGCGGGGCGCCTGGCTGGCTCAGGCAGTAGAAGCAGTGACTCTTGATCTCAGGGTCATGAGTTCAAGACCCGCGTTGAGCGCAGAGACTACTTAAAAAAAAAAAAGACAAAACTAGATAAAGCGTAAATTCCTTTCTGTCCCCAGGTGTTTGTGAGGCACCTGGAGGCTGGGAGGAAACTTGGAAGTAATAGGAATTATGGAACGCCTATTCCACATCCTGATTCTAGCAACTGCGGGTAGCGGGTCACTGGGCGGGAGCAGCTTGAGGCGGCTTGAAGCCGTCTGCCCCCACATCGGCGGAGGAAGCCGAGGCTGAGCCCCGCCGCTCATTGGCTGTGGGCCGCAGGTGTGGCCTCAGCCAATCAGTGGTGCCGGGGGCGGAGCCTTCCAGGCTCACCTGGCGGCCGCGACGCAGTCCAGCTCATTGGCGCCGGGCACTGCGGAGCACCTGTGAGCTCGCGGAAGTGCTGCCGTACTGTCGCCCCGCCAAGCTCCGCAGGACCCGACCCCTGCTCGGCCCGCCATGGGCTCTCGGTACCCTAGCGTCTCCGCGCTCCTGCTGCTGCTACAGGTACGTCGCGTCCCCTGGCTTTGCGGGGGACGCCTTCCGGCCCCACCATCACGCGCCCCGGCCCCCTTCCTCTCTCTTGTCGCCCTCTCTTCTTCCAAGAAAGTTTAGTTTCAAGAACGGCCTGGAAGCTGCGCCGCGCTCTTGGGCTCCGCGGAGGTGGGAGTGGGAGCGGGTGGAGAGCGAGCGCGGCTTTGCCCACTCCCTCTCGTAAATACTCGAGCTGTTGGGGGGCGAGCCTCGCTGTGGGCCTGGGGGATCCCGGGCTGGCCGCAGTACGGGCTAGGGGCGGGCAGCGGGGGAGGGACGTGGGGGGGGTCAGGATACAGAAAAGGGGAGTCCCGGTGCAAGTCAAGGGGAGCCAAGAGTAATGGGGACGACCCCTGAGGTAAGGAAAGGGAAATCAATAGAAATAAAGGCACCTGCCGTGTAAAGAAAGGGTAGTAAACAGGTATGGAGGCGCCCCTGGGATAATAAAGGGCTCAAAGGTGTTGGAGAGCCCCTCCTTGTGAGGAGGTAGACTCGGGAGTGGGGGCGTTCCCGGTGTGTGGAAAGTGAAGTGGGGAAGAGTAAAGATGCCTCCAGTGAAATGAAAAAGTAGACCGGAAGGAAAGGGGTGCTTGGTGGGGAGGCACTGACCCAGCAGCCCCCTTTCCCGGGAGTACCTGGGGGCTTGGCGGCAGCAGGTTTCGGAGTGAAAGTTTGGCGTGGCTGCCTGCCCTGGGGGTTGGGGGTGAGTGTGGCTCCCTCCCACAGTGCCGACGCTGGGAGCGAGGGAGGGGAGGCGCAAATGGTTTCGGTGTGGGCAGGAGGGGACACCCCCCCCTCCCAGGTCACCCTGGTTTCATACCTTTCCCCTACTTCAGGTTTCATCGTGGCTCTGCCAGGAGCCCGAGCCCTGCCGTCCTGGCTTTGGCGCTGACAGCTACACGTTCACAGTGCCCCGGCGACATTTGGAGAGAGGCCGAGTCCTGGGCAGAGGTAAGTCCTGAGCCTGGGAAGGGTCTGAGAAATTGCACTTCCACGCCCCTGGGCAAAGCCCTTTTGCCCTGGTTCGAACGATACCCCTTTGGAATTTACACAGATGTAGGGATCTAAACCTTAACCATGGTGAGCACTGTGGTTGAGAGGGCTACCCTTGTATGGTTATGTTGGGAAGGGGGCATTTACTTAGAGGCCTTTAATGTGTCCCATTTTGTCCTAGACCACTTGAGAGACTGTCATTTCAGACTGCAGAAACCTGATGTATGGGGGGGCGGGGAGTAGGGCTCAGTAATTCCCCTTTTGCAGATAAGGAAAGGGAGGCTCAGAGAGTGGAGTCCACTTGCCCAAGGTCAGCAGAGCGGGAATTTGAATGAGGCCTGACTCCCAGGGCCCATTCTGCACTATCTGGGTGCCCTCTCTTAGTTATCAGGTTGTGGCATTTGCTCAAAGAGGTGGAAACATTTCCATACAGGTATTATTCCCCCAAGGAATAATGTTTTTTAAAAAAAAGCCCGATAGCTCTGACTCGGGGAATGAAAAGGCGAACAGTATTTCTGGGCCTTGGCACTGTGATAATCAGGATTATAGAGTTTGCTTTATTTCACTTCACTGGTCCCCAGGAGTGAGAGAGCAAGGGAAGCTTGGTTTCTCTTCTGGTTTCACTGACTCCCAGATGCTTATTTCCTACCAAACGACTTCTTCCTCTTGATTTTAGTTGATGGGGCGAGTATCATAACTATAAAACACTTTTTCAAGTGAGAAATCACCCACGATTCCCAGAGGAAATTCACTGCATTTCTTCCAGTCTTCGATCACGTGAAAACTGCAGCAATCATGCTGTTGTGTGAAGATTGTTTGAATTTTGGAAGTTGTTCCAACAGTGGGCGGCATTTTTTTCTTTTTTAAACAGAAACTGCAGCTTCATTGATTAAACATATTTGCTTTTCTGGGGCCTGTGTTGTGTGGCACTCTCTATTGAGTCAGAAAGGAAGTGTTTGTCTGATTTTTCCAGTGCGTCCACCATTAGTCGATGGTTGATATTCTGCCCAGCCCTGTGCTGGGCGCCCAGGAATGAATTGAAGAGATACAGGGACACTCCAGCCTGCTGTTAGTATGTCACATCCCAGCAGGTTATGGAGAATGTCCCAGGACCCACTTAGAGGGCACTGTGGGACATGGGCATTTAGATGCCAAAGAATGTGGGTGGCATGGGATGTTTTGATGGCTATCAGTGGGCAGTGAGGACTGGCTTCTCGGAGGAGGCAAAGTTGACCCAGCCTTGAAGATGGAGGCAGGGGTTAGAAACTGGGAGTGTGAGTGTTTGTTAGTATGGGGTGTCCCAGACAAGCGCCTGTCACTTTGTTTTCTTGCACCAGGACATTTGGTAGCTCCAAATGTGGGTTAGTCTGGCTTTTATTGCTCCCGCCCTGCCCCCCCCAACAAAACTCTTCGACCAATAATATTATTACATAACAAATATTATCATTATTATTAATAGCGGCACCTATTCCTTTTGAACCAGACTCTGGGGCGAGTGTTTACTTTTACCTAATTTTGCTTTATGAGGGTAGGCACCATTTTTCGTCGATTTTGCAGGGGAGGAAACTGAAACACAGCTGCTGGTCTTTCTCTGGTTCTCTCAGCCCTTCTCAATAATCTCAAAAAGAAAGAAAGATGGCGTTTGGGAGAATTAGTGTCCGTTGTGAAGCAAGTGTTGTCTTCACTGTGTGCCTGAGAGAGCAGAGATATTGATGTGGCAGGAGCCTGAGGAGAGGAGGTGGTGGTGATGGGTCAGACTAGGGGGAAGTGCGAGGGGGTCTGCGGCTGGTGATCCTGGTGGGAGGGGCCGCCTCTTTGAGCTCCTCGGTCCTCGGTCAGGTGGCTGGTTTCAGTTTTCTTTCTATCCAAGACCCACCCCACTCAACAAATTTTCTGACCTTTCACTGTTTTGGGCTTTCCTACCAATCCAGTGTAGAATTAGCCAATTACCCCAAGATAGGCGTGCCCTTCTGGTAAAATCACATGCGACCTCAGAGAACTGGCTTTGTGATTTTAAAAAGGCAGCTGGGAGTTAGGGTGGTGGCCTCAGTCTTTGGGCCCTCCAAGGAAATGGAGAGATGTGACACTAGCACCAGGTTTATTTATTTATTTTATTTTATTTTTAAAGATTTTATTTATTTGAGAGAGAGAATGAGAGAGAGCACATGAGAGGGAATAGAGTCAGAGGGAGAAGCAGACTTCCTGCTGAGCAGGGAGCCTGTTGCGGGACTAGATCCCGGGACTCCAGGATCATGACCTGAGCCGAAGGCAGTCGCTTAACCAACTGAGCCACCCAGGTGCCCCTCACGGGAGTTTGAAAACAAGGAACCTGTTACTTTTTGTCCACCATTGGCCAAAGAGTGTCACAAGTAGGGTTTGACCAAACTCAGGGGACCCTGGGGTGGTTTGCTGGGGTGATTGTTGTGCTCTGTGAGATGGTTGACCCCACAGTCAGAGCCTTGTATTGATTTTATTGGTTTCTCTCCAGGTTCTAAAATGGAGAATGTTTTAAACAAGTCACTATAAACCGGTTCTCTAGAATTTCTGATTATTTTTCTTTTTCCTAGCACAAACTCGTTTGTGAAACCCAGGCTATTAGACAGTTTGGGATCTAAGAAGTATCATCACAGTGCCCTCTGCTTTAAGTTGATTGAGGTGTGGGGGGAGTGGGGGGTGGGGGGGAGGAAAAGCAGGTAGGCTTTTAAACTGATGGCTTCATTGCTTTGCTTCCTCCACCACCTGGTTTTGGGCAAACAGGGTTTATGTTTTGGGTTTGAGGTCTGGCTGCTTGATGGATTGACCTAGCTCACAAGCACCCACTTGTGTGGATTAAATACATCCATTTCCCCTTTCTACAAGTTGTGCTGAAAGGTGGTAGAAACAGTGTGCAGACCTCCTAATTAAACTGGGCTTTAAAAAAAAAAAAAACAACAAATACAGAAACCTGCTTCGGGATCTCCCTTACATGATCAGATTCCCTCTCCCGCCCCTCAGACTCACTTCCTCATTACTCACTTCTGTGATAAGGCTTGGTGCTGTGCTCACTGAGGAAGGAGACCTGGGTCCTCCTGTTCTTGTTTTTGTGTCTGTGAGAAGCTGAGGCTTCCTTACGTGCGTCCTGTGTGAGGAAGTCTGCCTGCTGTTCCCCCGTGGGGCCTGCCGGACCTGCCCTGCCTCTGCCAGGTGGTTGTGGAAATCCCTGTTTGCTCTCCGGGGCTTTATATTGGGTGAGTCTTTTCTTCCGAAATGCTCACCTTGGTGTCTGTTACACATTCCCTTCCAAGCGTAGCCCCAGATAAGCCAGACGCGGAAGCAATCAGCTCTCACATCTCCCAGGAGCTGCCAAAACCCTAAAATCCCCGAGAGGCACCTGTCACAGTTCAGACTTTCTGGGTTTCCACTCTGCCTCAACTCCCATCTCCTTTCAGGGCTTTGGGCTTTCAAGGAGGGGAATGAAGTCTGTATTCCTGGTCAGGATAGTGTGAGTAAGCACATGAAAGATCCAGGTTTGGGACGCCTGGGTGGTTCAGTCGGTTAAGTGTCTGACTTGAAGCTGAGGTCATGATCCCAGGGGTGGGATTTAGCCTGGCTCGGCCGGAAGTCTGCTTGTTCCTCTGCCCCTCCCCCTACTTGTTCTCTCTCCCCCACACCCCGTCTCAAATAAATCTTTTTTTAAAGATTTTGTTTATTTGACAGGGAACACAAGCAGGGGGAGTGGGAGAGGGAGAAGCAGGCTCCCCGCCAAACAAGGAGCCCGATGCAGGACTCAATCCCAGGACCCTGGGACCATGACCTGAGCCGAAGGCAGACGCTTAACGACTGAGCCACCCAGGCGCCCCACAAGTAAATAAAATCTTAAAAAAAAGAAAATCCAGGTTTGCCTTTTAGCTCCTAGCTGTGTGACCTTAGGTAAATCACTTTACTTCAATGAACCTCGGTTTCCCCATCTGTGAATGGGGGGAGGCAATAATACTTAGTGGTTTGTTGTGAGACTGAAATGTGTATGTTCGTTTATTTGGCTAGGCAACAAATAAGAGTGCCAGCACTGGGCTAGCCTCTGGGGTTACAGTAATGAATAAAGCAGATGTGAGCTGAGCATAAAGCAAGTGAGATGATGTAAAGAAACAGGAAAGATTCATTAGATGGTGTCTCATGTTTCTTAGGGACAGAGAGTAGGCACTCAGATATTTTAAACAAATGAATGAATTAATAAATATTTATTATCCCTCATACATTTTCTCTCTTTTTTTTCTCTCTCAAACTCTTTGGCCTCAGGCCAGCCCTAGATGTTGATGAAATGGAGGTGAGTCTGTGAACTTTCTAAGACTCATGTGAGGGTTGCACGCCCCTTCAGTGGTCCTGGAAGCTGGGCTACCTTGATAAGTGTGTTACAGGAATACAGTGTGCTGAGTGCTTCCCTCTCAGAGCCAGAGCACAGAGGTGGGAGCCTTCAAACCTGAATCTGGAAGGGGAAAGGCAGTCATTTTTATGTGTTTTTTATCTTTGGTCCAAAGAAACCCTCCTGGTAGCCTTCCTTTCTCCATCTCTGTCTCTCTTTCTTGCTAATTTAAGTTTACCTTTTATACATCTCAGCTCATATTTGCTACTGTTGGGAGGGCTTTAGCTACCCTCTTTTTGCACATTTCCTCTTCCCTTTCCTTCCTCTCATCTACCTCCAATCCCCCCCCACCCCCTGCCCACCCCCAGGCACATTTCCATCATTTAGAAGGTTCTTGAGTCAGACTGCCTAGATTGAAACCTAGGGAATGCCCCTTGCCGGCTGAGGGGATGTTGGCCAAGGACTTTACCCTCTAAGCCTTAGTTTCCTCATCTGTAAAATGGGCATAATAGTACCAGGTGCTCAATATTAAATATTAAAGCCGCTGGACTATTTGGTGCCTTGTGTTTGAGCCTCTACCTTGTGTTTTACCTTTGGTTCAAACTTTTCCCCATGTTCC